ACGGCTACGACTACTACGACGACGACCAACCAAGACTACCATGAGATTGCCGTAATTTTCCGCTTGTAGAGATGCCTCGAATCAAGACTCGGTGGCCAGGCTTGTCCCGAAGCGTTCCGAGGATTTTGCCCAAGCACTTGAAGGCAGGCTCTGAGATGTGCGTCGAGGGCTGCTGCATTTGTGTCATATCATTATCATGACTTCTACTGCCGCGGTTGCCATTCGTCCTGGTATCCACTCCCCAGTCTCTGCACCTGATTAGACAAACCTACCCTCTTGCTGGTTAGAATCGCTCCTGTCTGGCAAAGCGGTTCTGACATTGCTGCTGTTACGACCATGAGGTTGGTGATTGAAGCTAGTACCATTTTCAGTGTTATCGTGTGTATGTCTGCCTCCTCTCACCCCAAGCCCCAAAAGCCCTGTGAACTCTAACATCGTCGCAAGCCAAAGGAATCGCTGCTCTTTGCTTCCAGGCGCTGGTCAAGGCGGAGAACTGGGAGCTTCCTCCCCTCTTCCGCTGGATCGCCGCGAGGTGCACGGGCAGTGAGCAATGCTCTTGCAAATGCAGCAGGAAGATGTATATCGGTAATTATGATGATGGCAATGATCATGGCCCCACGATCTTTTGGATTGAAATGTCTACGTCCAGCCCGAAGTCGAGATGCCGAAGCAGAGCTGATAACCTCAGCATTGGGAAAAACCGCGTACGGACGAGAGTCTGCGGATTGGAGCGAGGTTTCAGATCTGGCACAGGTGCAACATCCCTTGCGACGAACTCGCTGCGACCTTCAACTGTGGCATCGGCATGGTCCTGATCACTGCGCAAGAGCACAAAGACGAGGTCCGGACTGAAGAGTGACATGGCTCTGGCCTGAAATCTTAAACTTCTCAGTGAGTTCAAGTCCTTTTCTCGAGTCCTTTTAGCCCTTTCCTCTGTCAGCCGGGACAGGTCATGACACGCCTGAAAGATATGGACGAGGAGGCCGGCAGATCGAGTGCCCTTGGAACAATAGGCCCCAACTGCCAAAGCCGAACGGACTGCGGGCAGGCACCTGGTTGTTTGTTCTTAAGGGTTCCATTCTTGTTTACAGTTACGTAGGGTCTAATGAGTCCAGTATAGGGGCCTAAATACTTACAAGTACCAATACTATTTCGGTCGTTCCTTATTATAACTATAGTAAACTAAGGCCCCGGCATTCGTAGCCCTGTAGCCCTAGGAGCCCACCGGATGCCAGGCACACATCATCGGGGAGCTCCTGCCCAGAAAGGATGGTCAGGGACAGATGCACATCGCCGGGGTCCAATCGCCGGAAAACAGAAGTTTGGGGTTTGTGATTTCTTTATGGTTATGGTTTTGAAGCGCAGGCCTTCGGCACAGAAGACTCAATTCCTCGGGTTTTCGGGATCCCGTCCTCCCATATGTCCCAGGATTTTCGTCTACATGAACTCTCAGTCAACTTTCGCTGCAGGGTTTTGTAAGGGTGTTTCCGCGGCATGCGCAGAAGCACGATGTGCTTGCACCATGTCAGAGGTTTGCACGCGATAGGTGTTTGTGGCGTGATGGAAGCTTACCGAAGCGACCTGATACTCCCCATACCGTAGTGCATGGCACAAGCATGTAGTGGCACGAAGATCCCGAGACACCGAGGACGGGGCCGAGAGCTGTTGGCTGATGCTGTGCCTCTGGCCATTTCGATTGGAGACATCAGTTTGGCTGTAGGATTTCGGGCTCGGGGTGTTGGATTCCAGGCACATGGTCTCCAGGTAGCACAAAGCCATCTTGACGGAAAGAGAAACTGGCAAGATGACTGCTTACTAAGGTTACCGCCACAGGAGTTAAACTCCGAAACTTTACACCCCAAAGCTTACGCCAAGCCGCAAACCTACAGTAAAGCCTGCACCCGACGTTGGAAGTTCATACAACCTCAAAGCACGTGTGAATCAATGAACCGAACTCCTTGTAAAGCAAGCAAAGCCATGTACACCATGCCAAAAGCTTTATAACTTATAACACCCAGATAGGGCCTTCACAGGACCGTGCAAAGACCCCCCCGGAACCGTCAAGGAACCCTTCGACACTCCTTTAAAACAGTGCTTGTCAAGCCTTTTATAGCTCCATCCTCAACATTCTTACCCACCCTGGCGCGAAAACGACCTGCAAAACCCACACCCCTAAACCCTAT